AGAATTATCGCGAAAATATCAAAAGTGACGAGTTTTTGCTGAGCTTTTTGGAGTGATCGATTGCTCTCGGTAATGGAGCGTATCGCCTTCTGTAAATGTTTTCTGAAAAAAGTCATTGAAGTTCGTCATCCGTTAAAGCAATTAGCGTTAAAATGGATTGACTCCAGTGAGCCTCGTTTGAGCTCCGGCATATCAACTCCGAATCTTGTTGTCCAATCGGCTGTTGGTCACTACTGTGAACATGACTCTGCATATTCACTGACCGGATTTAATGCGCCTCATGGTTCGTATTGATAATTCCATCCCTTCCTCTCCTTCAGTCACTTCCATATCATTCACTGCTAAATAAGCTTTTTTTTCGGAATTTAGAGATGATAACATAATATATTATATGGTAAATTTATTTGTATCACAGACCATCGCCATCCTTCAGCAGTTGAATGATTTAGTTAATGCGAAGACGATTTTTAGCGCAATTCGGTTGTGTTCGCGCAAAGTTGATCATGTCAAGACCGTTATACATTCCCTTGATACGCTTCTTTTTACCGTCGATCCTTGCCATATTCATATCGTGGAGCAGCATTTATATCAATCGAAATCAAATACAAACTCGCTTAACTGTTCTCATCTTTTCCACATCTATCATTTGCTTCATTGTGAGTTTCATCGATTTGCTTACCTCAAATTGGCATTTTCTGTAGAAATTTACACTGAATAAAAACTAAAATTTCTGAGCAATATCTGTCAATGGTCATCGGAATAGTTATTTGATCTTTGTTGTTATAAATTACCTTTCTTTGCCTATCAGTTCCTAATTAACAAAATTTCAGATTTTCAACGCTTATAGTGATATGCCAACATTGGTCTATTTAACAGCCGCGGATATATGGCTTATCATTTGCTCGATATTCTTATCAATCTCATTTGTTGAGGTTGTTTTATTGCTATCATTTCAACTCTAAATTCCGCAAATCAGTGCTGAGAATAACCATTCTAGATTAAATTATGTCCCCAAAAATTGTATAACGTAAACAGAGCTTAAAAATTCAGCAGATTCATCATTCGAATTTGTTAATCAACTCAGCACATATCCAATTTCAGTTCCTAATCGTTCAAATGCTCACTCATTTATCGCAAAAGTATCGAATGCTGGCCGACAAAGACACTTTAGTGCGCAAAGAAAGTCGCTATAGACATGAGAAACGTGCGCTTCGAAACGCTTTTGTAAATATGAACGCCAGCCCGAAAGTGCCAGTGGCGAACGGTCGCATTTTCGATAAGAAACATGAAGTGGTTCGTTTGTTTCGCCTGAATATTCTTGTCTTGTCGATTTTCATTTCACTGCAACCACGACGAACACTGACTTATCATTTGAATCACCTGAATATTTCATAGCCAACATCGACGATTTATGAAAGCAATTAATACTGCTGCTTTATTGTTATTGCACTGAATGAGCGATTGATTGAAATTAAGCATTTCGAGATTCAACCGAGTTCGTCGTCGATATCCAACAGTGATGTGATTATATATCAGCATTTTCGACGATGGGCTGATTACCTATCCATAATGGCAGCGCGTGTTGATCTGGGTGCACGCATCATTTTACCGATTCTTTTTTCTCTTCTCACTTTTCTTTATTTTCTTTTTTGGATCATTTTATGAATGATGTTTCCGTTTTGTATAATATTCTCCTATCGTTTACGAGGTATCAAATTCATTCAGTTGACTCATTTTCAGTTTTTCATTCGCCGTCTTTAACACAAATAATCATTCAGTTAGAAGACTATCCAATCTCGTCGTGTCCTTCTGGTCCCGAGAAGGATGCGTTAATGTTCTCATTTGGGAC